TGGTTGGAACGTTGGGCCGTAGTTAAAATAAGTTGTAGATAAGTTAACCGTTAAGTATTGCGTTTTAAACCGTTAAAAGTTTTTCATTTAAATAAAACCAAATTACAAATATAAGACTCTATAAATCCTCAATTACTAAATAATATATCTACTAAAACCTATTTCCTAAGCAAGGATAGATCCTTATAATTTTATCCCCTATAAAGATTTCCGAGTCGCGGCCTTCATAACAGTTAAAGTGCTGATATATTTTTGAAAATGAAAAGCCTAAAGTGTAATTTTTCAGTTTCAATACGTTTGTTTCCCTGTTTTGTTTTAAGCAACGTTTTTTAAAAGTTCAGAGCGTCTTCAGCCTTATTTCTGGTGCTATAATTCATTTACATAAGATACAAACATGCCAGACGCGAGACGTATTCTATACCAAGTACAGCCTCGTAATAAATCTCTGCACATCAATTAACTCACAGTAGGTAATCAATGTTTATGATTTCTCTAAGATAATCGCTAGAGAGTGACCATAGGACATTCTTTCATAATTCCTAAGATCACTGGAAAGTCGATTTATTTAAATGTATGTACCGTGTGAACGTTATTATTTATAGTAATGTTGGAAAGTGGCGGGAAAACTTGCTACCGACGCCATCTTAAGTGGCGCCGAGAGTATTCTGGTTTCGGCTAGAAAGGCTTCCCTCTAGTCGTCGATAAGGTGGATGCTGGTAATTTGTTATCATTTAACTAGGATTTGTGGTCTTAATTTTTATACACAAGTTTATCTAGGCTAACTGGGGTATACATTAAAATATAAATGTCAAAACGATGTCTACATAGACATCGTTTTTTAATTGTATCAATTATCGAGTTCCTATAAACAAATACGTCAAAGTATTAGGCCGAATAGTGTAAAAGAAGCCGAATAGGCCGTCCGCCGAATATTAGTTGTAAGTTAAGTTATTAATCTTATAAAAAAACAGTTAAGCTATAAATTATGTTTTGCATATATGTTTAAGGATAGAAAATGAATATAAACATATCGTCAAATTGAGAACGGTGAACATGCTAAAATAATTCTCAAAATGTAGCTTACGACAGCTCATAAAAACTGTGTTATTAAAATTATCGCACTACTTAAAGACAACTTTCACTTTTTTAATTTTTCATTCATTCATGCCTAGTGTCGACCTTCACACGATTACAACTGGTATTGTAAGTTAACATGTAAAATGTACATCAAAAATGATAAATTGCAGCCCTTTCTTATGTAAAGTCCGTGACTTCTGTCAATTATAGTGACTTATGAGGAGTCTTGTTAAATTATCCGATTATTATTGGCACCCGATTGTGATAAATAGTCTTGTAGCATTTATTATGGCACTAGTTACGCCCCGCGGTGCTTCCGTTATCGTAAGTAGAACGAGTTAAAAACACTTTTTCAGATCGAAACGCGACATATGTAGTTACGTTTTTATGCTCGATCAAACATTTCCTATAGTTTCCTATACTTTGTAAACAAATGGTAAATTTTTAATTAAATTTAATGTATATGCTACGAATTATATGTAAGTACTAGGTAAGTATTCCTAGCAATGTCAATTGTTATTTTACATAGATAGTCATTTTCCAAGGTTTTATGTTGAAATAAAATCGATTCTATTTACAGGCAAGTAGTTAGACTTATATGCCTTGCCCGGTCGAAAAAAAAATCTAATCTAATCTTTCCCAGGGATTCGAATCCAGGTTTCGTGTTTAACGTAACGCTTGACAATGTGGTTTAAGGGTTGTACTGTTACTAGGTCACAACAACAACAGCACTTAAATACTCAACATAATAAACAACATATTATGTGTGTACATTTACTGACAAGGCGAAGAAAGTACTATGACAGAGAACATATAACATATTGAAAACACGCGCGGTAATAGTATTATAAAGTGTGGAAAGGATTTCTCTTGAAGTTTATATTATTGTACAGGTTTGAGGTTAGGCCAGGTTAATAATATGTTACTTGACACTATAGTTTATTAATACGAAAGAAAATACTGTGATCCGTGTAAAAACAGATGCGTTAATGATTTGCGACTTCAGCAATCTAAAAAAGGAGCTATTCAATTCGATTCGTATACATAAATGGTTTATTATAGTGAACACTTTTAGCGGCGTTGTGTATTTCTGTAATAGGTAAACATGTTAGCGATAGGAAACAATACCTGAGGGCAGTATAAATTCTCAGGTTTGTTACAATTCATAAATTAATATTATATTTGACACTGTCTGTAGCTTACACGAATAGTACACATTTAAATAAAACACCTTAACGGTTTAAAACGCGATATATTCTAGTTAAACTTTTTTGAGAATTATTTTTAACTACGGCCCGACGTTTCGGATGCTTTGCAGCAGCTGTCTCCGTGACCACGGGGATTAATTTATTCAACCAATTATATTTGATTAAATTATATAACCAATTATATTTGACGATAAATTGTAGTAGTATGGTATTTTTTACTGATAATTCCAGATTTAAAATTATTCAAAAATTCCTATGAAAATAATTATGTCTACCCGTAATTTGAAATGACTAAAAATAGACTAAGATTTGCTTTATAAAAAACGTTTAAGTAGAGAGCCAATCTAAAAAGATATACGTGATTTGGTGCACTTTCCCCAAGAACTATATAATAGAACTAATTTCTGTAATCCGCTAGAGAAACAATGTCATTGATAAATGCAGTGAAAACTAGACCACAACGCTGTGGGCAGTGGCAAGTGGGTTGTCTGCTGACGTCATTAAAATCGTCTAGACATCTATTTATTGTGAAATTAATGATCGTGCACTTCCTATAACCTAGCTTTGCCTAAGAAAAGCGAGTACCTGTTTTGAACAATATTTTGACGGCCTCGTTGGTCTAGTTGTAGCAATATGGCTAATAATCAAAGGTTGTGGGTTCGAACCCCACCGGGTACAATTAATTTCAATTGAAAACATTAATATTTTTCACATGTTATTGCACATGAAGGCACTATATAATTAAAAAATCGAAAAAAAATTGTTCGACTCGGGCAGGACTTGAACCGGCATCGTCAGCGTTCCAGAGTCAGAGCAACAGCACGAAACGCTGACGATGCCGGTTCAAGTCCTGCCCGAGTCGAAAATTTTTTTCAATTTATTTTCGATTTTTAAATTAATTTCAATGTATAATTTTTCTAATGTGACTGATTTTTCTGATGTGAATGGACTTCGTCTGGAAATCTAGATATTAGATGGGTAACAATATCGTAATTCCATCCGGGTCACGAACCACCGTCTGTAGATGAGAGAGCCGTAATGTTGAATCATGTTTCTGTTTCAGTCTGTGGATTTCCGAGTAAAGCCATAGTGGATCAACGGCGCATCTTGTTTAGATGCTATAGGCTGGGGAATTTCACTTCTGTTCTCCTCTATCTTAAATAAATTTGTAACCCGGTGGATTTGTAATAAAACGCATTATAAAAATTGAGTCTACTATTTTAACTTTAATCCGTTTGATAGAATCTAGTATTAGACTTAGACGTGCGGTCAGGTTGTCTGTAAAAAGCTGAGTTGTAAATAAGGAGAGGGAAAAAATAGCAGCGATTAAGTGTCACGATATACGAGTTTATAATGTTCTCGCCGACCGCGAGATGAAGAACAAGTAATTGGGCCGGACCACTACCACTTGTTATTGAAGAGATTCGACTGAAAACGTATTTTTCGCAAACCGTATGACTTCTTACTCATTGAAGCTATTTTATCTTGACACTCTGAGAAACATCTTCGAGATATCAATTATGCAATACCTATATGATAGTATAAAACAATGGAGGACCACTCTTTGATGCAGATTATTTTCAGTGTAAAAAATATAATAGGTAGAGTAACGTGATCTAAATTTAAAAAAAAATGGAATAACTCCTTTAATACATTCATGGTTTAAAACGCGAATAATATTTGTTAACTTATTTACAACTAGCGACCCGCCCGGCTTCGCTCGGGTGCAATGCTGATACTAAATAAACTACACAGAAACTGTGAACGTTGTACCTATATAACGATCTTCCTCTTGAATCACTCTATCTAAATAAAACCGCATCAAAATCGGTTGCGTAGTCCTAAAGATTAAAGGGCCAATAGAGACAGAAATAGCGACGACTATACTATGTAGTGACGTATGTTAACTAACTAAGATACTAACGCTTTTTGAACCGTTAAATTTATCTAAATTAAATGTGTACGACACGCAGTTAAATTGGTGTTTCTTATTATTCAACTGATCGTAATGTTTGCACTTATTAAAACTACTCTCGAGTTACATTTTACCTTAGTAGGGGTTACATTAGAAATCTAATTGGCACAAGTGATTGGCGTTTCTTCTCACCTGGCAGATAAATCAGTGTTAAGCATCGTTCAGATAATTGTTGATAGAGCATAATGCGGGCAAGGTCTTTTATGTTATCAATGATCACAGACTGTGGTCAGTTAAAGACTAGTGACCAAAGATCCAAGATGGATGCTGAAGAAATTTAATGTCAATGTATGGTGATAGAACCGTCACCCAGAATTTAGCTTTGTTGGTCCATAAATAAGATTCAAACATCCTTGTACGTTGTTTTCAAAAGTGGTTTTTGTGAGTTAATCTCAAAAAATAGACGTATACTGTCACGAACATATTTAAAGTAGAATAATTACTTCATTTACACTTTTGGGTACAAACCGTTTTCGCAGCACACGCAATGGAAACCCACAAAGATGAATATTTTTTTCCGTTTTTCCTTACCTCCAAAAGGCTTTATATTTTATAACCTAAAGCCTTTCTCGATAAATCCTCTAACCAACACAAGAATAATTCGAACCAGTAGTTCCTGAGACTAGCGCGTTCAAACAAACATACTAAATCTGCACCTTTATAATATTAGTATACAAATTATACATTTCACCTACAGATATTCAAACTTAAAGCTCTAAGCTCTATAACTTAGTCTGTGGTTAAGCTAATGATTTCAAAAGTCGGACAAGGTCTGCAATGATACCACTTATCACTATAATCATTTAACATGCTCATTTTGAAGCGGAGGCAATGATCTAATGATTCGTAATGAACTTCGAATCAAATTATTGATGGCTTACCAAAAAAGAAGACAGATTTACTATCACCTATATACAATTTTATAAAAATACTAGCTGTGTCAGCGACTTTATCCGTTTTTGCAACGCTCCTTCTCATATTTATAAATGTAAGCTTAGTAAGTTTCCCACAACGTTGTCCCCGTCTCGTCGTTCTTGCACGTTAACTTAAAAGATGGACATATACTCACATTTTTAGATTATTTTAGAGGAATCATTATTTCATACAAGTTTTTTGGGTATCTCTCCGTTTTGCAGCGTATGTAACGATAACGGTAACGGCGAGATTAACAAACCCTTCACTCTTATATACTTATTAGTGATCAATAAAGTTTTAGTTTAATTATTCATTCATTTAATCATTTGAATGTTATAAAATTCACCTTTTAATAAAGTAGAGCGTAGATATTTAGATATTTATAAAGTGACTTTTCTTTCCTTTTTTCAGAAGTGAAAAATGAAAAAAATCATAATTTTTAGCAAAATTTTGCTATCGTATAGGTATACAAACTGTGCCGTTATAACGCGCGTATATCATGTAAAAATAAATATGAAGCAGGCGTTACCGGTCAGTAATGATTAAGAGGTTTTCTGATATCTTATTCAGTCAATGATAATGTCAGTAAGATATAGATCTTTTATATTAAAGCTTTTAAAATTTAACTCTTAAGTTTCAGTTATGATTATTTCTTCAACGTATTGTTTAATCTTATAGCGAGTGAGTGAAATAATGCAAAGTAATGGGCATAACAAAAAAGTTCTTTTTTGGCTTATAAAATAAAATAAAAAATACAAAAACTTAAGTAATAAGTTTTTAGTTAAATATAACACTTTGTCCAGATCTAAACGCAAAATATATTAATTAACTTATTCTTAATTTATTTTAACTACGGTCCTACGCTTCCTGGTCACGGGGGGACGGCCGCCCCAAAGCATTAACTAATATTTCATGTTTAAATCCGTTAAAAGCGTTTTATTGCAAGTGTACTAAATGCGTAAACAATAGACAATCCTTCAATAAAATAGCGCCACAAACCTTGATTCCAAGCTGAAGTGATGTTCTCGTGATAGAAGTACTCCGTCTCCTCTTCATCAGACCACAGGACCCCTTCAATACTAGACGTGATGCCTTGGCCTTCCGGACCTTCCACAATGGAACGTCTAGACAGCTGGTCATAACTGGGAGGCCGCGATATATATGATATGTCGGCTAAGGACGACCTAAAATTCTTAACACTTCTACTGTCTATTGGTCGGTAGTAACGAAGCCTAGTATCCTCAGATCGTACTGAACGGAGAGACCTACAGTCATAGTTGTCGTTTATATTAGTTATGTCGCCTAAAGATACCTTGAAGTTATTAGAGGTTATATCCCCCAAAGGAACTTCGCAGGATCGTCGTTTCATACTAGTTTTTTGGGATGGTGCCTCGCCAGTGGCCTGCATGTGCCGACTGACTCCAGCACTGTGTAAGAATTCATTGGAATTATACATTTTAATCTATGTAGGAACTATCAAATGACTATGTATGGAATTATTCGTTCGTTCGTGATCGCGTTAGTGATGTACCTGAAACAAAAAAAAAATAGAGTTAATGTTTTTCTAATAGCATTATATTATGTAATTATAAAATAAAAATGAAAATAAATGTCTAATTCATTTCGTGTACAATTCGCTTGTTTATATGTGTACTTATATATTTATTACGAGTCGACTTTTAAATTATACTGTCACAATATGAATTTATAGATTTCTCTTTCAGTAAATCAAAGTATGTATTAATTTGTATGATGTATTTTTTTTTTAATAAAATTTGTAGGCCCCATACAAGAAAAAATAAAATTAAACTATTTGTTTCAGCGCCATCTATAAAAATGATCAAGCTATATATAGTACACAGATAACAAGTAAATACCGTACGGCATAGCAGACCCTTTTTTCATAGCTGTGTCTGCTTTTATAGACACCCAGCAGATGGCGCTATTTGTAATGACAAATTAGTGAACACATTTTTAACCTCAAATCTCAATTGACAATATTATATTATTGTAGTTTTTTAATAAATTTTCATCAAAATATAAACGGAAAAATTTAATGTTGTTAAATTTTACGTATCTATCTGTTAGTTGTTATAAACAATATAGGGTTATAATAATTATAACAATACATATGACGTATTTTTTACAGTTGAAATATTTTGAATCTCTATTCACATTCATCGACAATAACATCGAAAATGTGGTTCACGTTTCTAGCCATAAACAAAATAAGCCTGAAACAGGAAATGATGACCATAAAAGGACAAGAAAAATAGGTTATCGAGATATTGTCTTGGACGTTCGTAAATACAAAGGAAATGAAATCGCCACAGGCTATTTAGTAATAATACATCTTATAGCATTTCTCTTGTATAGTATCTTGGTCTATTCCCTGTTTTACTTGGCTAAAATATTAATTATTTCTAGGAATCAGGGGCGTATGTTCCCTTTCCACCCCAAAATCAGACAGTTAAAAACAATGTTAGTTGCCCATTTCAACCCTACACAAAATTCTGACAATTTTTATAGCGTGTAACTTCTTTAGGCGCCTTACCAAATATACTAAAGGTGTTAAGTGGGATATTAATAATAGAAAATGTTTGAAAATAATAATAAACAATATTTTTATTAATATATTTATAAAAATATAACACAAAAATATATGTATCAAATACATATACTTTGTGTTATTGGGTTTTAGTATCGTACTGAAAATTAGACCAGACAGACCTTGAACGTCAAACTTGCTTTCATGTAAAACTTTTTGCATGTAAACTTTCTGGATCCCCTTAAAAATGAAGTTGGGAGTTCCGTGTCATTATAAAAGCGAAGCGGCAAATGGCATCTTAAAGTTATGACGGGTCCTGTGTAATAGTTGTGGTGTTAGAGCAGTAATTAAAGTCTTAGCGCCGTAATAGAGGCACTGGAAGCATTAAATTCTAATAACTTGCAGAATACAAATTTGTCACTTAACTGTTGTAGTTACTATGAAACACAATGACTAAGTATTTTGTAAAAAAAACTATTATTATCTATTATAATATGTTTCTTGTCACAGCTGCTATTAGGTTGTTACAAATAGGTCAATGTATTTTACGCTACTAAAAATGTTTTTGTTTTTAATTATATATATTTATAATCTGTAGCACTCGCGTGAACTACAGACTAGCAGTATTTTTGTATATTCATGTTTATTGAAATAACTACTGGAAAAAACAATTATGAATTTACAACATAAACTTTACAGATTGAGCATTGCTCTCTTATAATTTAATTAAAAATTTATTATAATTTAATAATATTTTTTGTGAAGAAAATCCTGACTTCGTTCTTAATATTTTCAATATGTTTAGCAAATTGAATAGACAAAATAAGTTACATTAAAACTGAATCTCTACGAATGTCAAATAAATTTGACATCACAAAGGCTCGGAACCGCAAATAAGCTCTATAAAGGGTAACAAAGGCTCATCAACAACAGAGTTGAATGTCGAAAAACCTGCAAACGAGGGGAAAAGGCACAATGCGAAATTGGACTGACGACAACCGCCCTGGGATTGCGATGAAAGTTTTTAGTGTACCTAGCTGCAATGATGCAAGCTATCGTAACAGAGTACACGCTTCGTTGAAGCTTATAATTTAAAAAAATGCACAAACAATTTAAGAGATACGATTAAGGCTAACATACAAATGTTTAAATAAAACACTATAACGGTTTAAAATGCGATATTAGTTAAACTTAATTAAAATGATTTTTAACTTCGGCCCGACGTTTCGGATGCTTTGCAGCAGCCGTGGTCACGGGGAACAAAAATAAAATGTTGTAAAGAACATCGGTCTTGTAAGCATAAACACTCTTGGTAATTAACCATAATTAAATTTAATTTAATCTATTTATAATAATATAATTTTGAGTTAACGTTTATTGAGTTTATCTATATGTAGGTATAATTATATAATATTGTAAAATAAAATTTTTTTTTTTGATAGTAATAAATCAAAAATAAAACATTATGTACTAATAAAAAAACAAGGAAATTGAAAAAAATGGGGAAATTAATATTTTAGGGTTTGTTGGTTGAGATTTTGAATGAAAGAACTTTAAACGATCTTTAAAAATTCCAGCGACAGTATATTGATAAATAGACGTCTTTCTTTTAAGATTAACTTGCAAGCACGCCGGGACGCGGACGAAGACATGGGCTGAGCTCAGGTTTCCAATGGGGAGTAACGCAAAATTCCGATCGATTTTTTAATTTGAATTTTCAAATAAGTTTACCTAATATATATTGTGGTTTAAACCGTTAAAGTGTTCTATTTAAATTGATTATTCCTACTAATATTATTGATTATAGGATAGAAGTTTGAGTAACAAACACGCTAAAACGGGTTTATTGATTTTGATATAATTTTCAATGTGCAGTGTTATCAACATATTGAATATATAGTTATAATGCGGTACAAATTAATTAAGAGATCTCTTATGAAATAGATTTAGTATCATAACATATTTCAATAGCTAGAAGAAATACATTACTTATGTAGCTAAATAGAAGCAGTGTATAAAGCTTAATAACTTCTCCCTACTCTGATTGTAGAACCTGTAATTTCCCTGGAATATTCCTGCGTGGTTTGCATAGACCCCAGCGTATGACTTCAATGTAACTGGCAATTTTAATTTGAATCTGAATTCCAGTAATTCAAATACTCGCCTCAGTTAACTAATGCATTTACATTAATTTATTTTGAAGAGATCGTCTGCGCTACGAAATATATATAAATACGAATTTAAGGTTAATTAAAATATGACACAGGGGGACACGACACAATTTATTAAGATGTACTGTCATTCTATGCTGGCTTTGAACATTCGCAAACTAAAATGCGCATTTATCATCCTTTTCCATCCGTGGCCCGAGTGGGATTTTAACAACTATTGATTACTAGCCGAACATTTACGAGACAACTGCCCCATCAAATAACTCAATTTACGGGAAAGTCAGCTATATTTCTTAACAATACACATAAATCGAATGAAAACAATGCCAAGGAAAATTCCTGAATTCTGTTATCACCCTTTTCAGGTGGCGTAGCGCGGCTCCAATAATTTAACGAACAAACCAAATGATGAAGTTGAACCAAAACTTTGGGGCTTCTGACTTATTGTCGAATATAAATTGCTCCAAGTTCTCGCGATAAATCTTGAAGATCACTAAATTGTTTGAAGGATAGAAACGAAGTTTATGTAATATTAATATAATGAATTTATAATTTCAATATTTAGAGGGTGAAACTAACATATTTCTGTGTCCGTTTCACTAATTGACTTTGTTTAATAATCCCGGGAATGGCAACAAGTTTAAACCATTTAACCGTAGATATAATATCTAGTTGATGTAAAGTTTGAAAACGATTTCTCTGAATTTAAAACTCATTACGAGATATCAAATTACCAATCAAAAACGGCATTATACAATAACCGTATCGGAAATGCCAAATTACAGTAATTTATAAATCGCTTTTTTATTAAAATAAGCAGAGTACTGTAAAACTATAATATGAGTATATAAAACGTGTTACAGGTTAGGAAAGATACACTTAATAACAAATACTTCCAATGATTAATTCAATGAAAAAGGCATTGAAGAGGCCGAACCGAACAGAAAAGCGCGAACCTTTTAAATCATCATTTTATTTAATCAACGCTCAATCTTTTGAAACGCCGCCTCAAAATAGCATCTCATTTTTTACAAATGTACACAATAACGAAATGAATTCAATATTTAAGTACATGGGCGATGAATAATAAAGAAGCACTTAGCGGCAGCTCTCATCCAGAAAACGTGTCTTGAAAAAATTTAATCAAACGCGCTTCTGTGGATCGAATAAATCTATACAGATTATTATTTTCCTATATTCGAATTTAAGAAGAGTTTTGGCAGAATTCACGCTTTTTATCTTTATATAATCTAAGATAAGCATCTTCTTAATTTAGTCATAACCGACCCGGTGATCCAACGGCTTATGCTAGAGACGCATTACCAAGCACTAAGCACATGCGGTTCGAATGTTGGGTAAAATCAATAGTTTCAGCTAGGCAGGTAGATAGACAACTAGATCCTTGCCTGTAAATATTATATTATATTGCTAATCTGTGAAACAGATTTCGAGATATATCTGTCCCATGCCCCTGTTGATATTGACTACCTTACATATTAAAAAAATATCCTCGGTTGTATGTGTGTTTTTTTTTTTGCATTAGCATTACTAATGGGTTAAAGAAACCAGCTTTCATAAAAAAAGTAATTAAACCACTAACAAAGGAAAATTATTCGTAAAGTATAAGTACCGGTAAGTGCAGTACTTGATGTTAACATAAATCGTAAATAAGTAAAATTATATGTTTCGCGTTATAAACCGTTAAAAGTGTTTTATTTAAAAGATTAACTAACACAC